CAACTTCTGCTTCTTATCCCAGTTGTCGGCATTGTGGTCCTCACCATTGGCCTCATTCCTCCAGCAAAATATTCAGAGCATTTTTTCTGTAAATTAAATTGGCAGCGCACTAAAGCAGGAGCTTTAAGTTGCCATAATGAAAGGGATACTTGGTGGTCCACTTTTGTGAGTCCGAAAAGGGCAATGAATTTGGAGTGTTGAAGGTCAGAAACATGGTGAGTAGACTGCCACCCAAGATTTTAGAATTCAGCCGCTATCTGTGCCTGCCAAAGCGATAAAATGCATTGTCAGTCATTCATTTAACGCCTTACAGATTGAGGAATGGATTTTGGAGCGCCAAACGACAGTAAATGCGCAATTCATAGCAACGGAGGTGGTGTTGCAAGAGCAAAAGGCAATTCAAAAGTACCACCTGTTCAAGAACTTCGAAGCCGAAGTGAAAAGCTACGGAGCTCTGGCCAAGACAATTTTCCAAGTACGTTTTCGACCCAATTAGATGAAATTTTCTACAGCCTTGTCCCAATTTTGCGTCAGCTGGTGTTGGAGAAAGCGTAATTGCCTTAGCCTGTGTGTCACCCTTGCAGACTGTCCAATCAACAATAGAGGCAAATCCGACCTCCTCCGCACGCTTACAGGAAGCTCTCGAGTGGAATGTGAGATTGTGGAATGAACTAAACACAACTCTGTCAATTCAGGGTGAAAAATTGGTCGAAGTGTATCGAGGTGAGTGGAACCGTCTCAAGCAGACAAAGGAGGCGAAGGCAGAAATGGCGACTGATGGTTGATTGGCCTTTGAGCTAACTGATAATAAGCGGTTTCGCAAAGTCCCATGGACAGGTGATAGAGAAACCCATTTTCTGGCGTCACGCTTGCTCCCACTTTTGCATGTGATTGACTAAAGGCGTAAGGAGAGTCCAAGGAAGGCGTTAGTACTTTTCTTCCCCTCCGAAATACTACACGACGCCTTGCCTTGTGAGCTTCTTCTAATATATGGCAAGGCAAGGCTAAAGTTATTTGTGTAATAAGTTACAAACTTAGTGAGACACTTGTACCACCTCCTTCAAACCATAGTGAAGGAAATTTTTTTGCCTAAAAGTCCTTCAAATCCATCTTAAAATGGTTTTTTTGCTTGTCTACTCAGCAAGTAATGGAACAGGGTGTCTATTTTCTCCCTCTTTACCGTCCAATTCCATTTATAACTGCATCCACAACTGCTAAGATGGTTTTGGCACGTCAGTCTGCTACTACTTTATTCCGCACTAGTAGTCCATTCGGTGGTGGTGGGGCCTCGTCACCTAGTCATTGGCCTTCAATGGATCCACACCCTTTTTCCAGGACCAAGGCAAGCTTTAACCTACAATGGATGGTAAAAGTTGAGCTTCCGCCCACCAAAGGAGACACTGAAAGCTAAAAGTTGTAATTATGATGACCTTGAGAGATGTCTTAGTCTTCCCATGG